GCCAACCGCCCAACCACAGACCCGTTGGAGCCCTCCGCCCCCCCGCTCTCGCCCGCCCCGTCGCCGCCGCGCTCTCCGCGCCCCGCCTCGCTGTACCCCGCCGCCGCCCCGCCGCCGTCGCCGTCGCGACGCGCGCCGCACGGCATCGTGCCGGATGCTGCCTTGCAGCGCCGCATGGCGAGGACGTACCCCTTGCTGCCGCGCGGCTCGGTTTGTGTCATCGTCGCCCCGGGCGATATCGCCAGCCTGGAGACGAGCGCTCAGCCAAACCACTTCAAGAGGTTCCAGATACACAAGTTCTCGGAGCAAGTCGGCAACGTCGGCCGCCTCCCGTTTCATAACCGCGTCGGCCACTCGGTGAAGAACATGGTCAAGAGTGGCGCCGAGAAGGCCGGACCGCTGCGGTGCGCCCTGGATTTGGTGCAGCCCATCAACTCGGCCTTTCGCGAGCACTCCACCTGGAAGATCGACATGCGCGCCGTGGATGACGTCTTCCAGGGGCGGCGCTATGGGTGGAACCGCGACTACCCGGCCGCCCAGAAGATCTTCCAGGGGAACAGCAGCATTGTGATGCGCCGCGTCGTGCAGATGCAGCATGCGTACCTGTACGGCGGCGCGAGCGGCATCAAGCCGCTCGTCAGCATCCGCGAGGACCTCATGGAGGTCACGGGAAACCTGCTTGACGGCTCCGACTTTCTCGAGCTCATGGAGTATGGAATCCGCCGCGGAAAGCCGCGTGCCTTCACCTATGTCCTCATGCCCGAGCGCCTCTACATGGCGGAGACAGGCGCCAAGTTCTTCATCAACATGATGTCCAAGCACGCCATGCACTGCTCCGCGTCGCCAGAGGTCGTCTACGCGGGCGAGCTCCACTTTCGCTGCGCCCCCGTCGGCTCGGGAGAGCCCCTGCACACGCTCGTGGTCGACAACAACTCGGGCACGTATACCCCAGACAAGATCGACCTGCCGCTCGTTGTCGAGGTCTTCCGCCGCAACTTTACAGGCCTCGACGTCGTCGGCCTGCACTATGAGGACCCGTTGTTGAAGCGCTACCTGTCAGAACTGCCGCGGTGCACGGGCGAGAGCGCGTTGATGGACGCGAACACTAGCTACCGGTAGTACGCCGCAGGGTTTGGACGCGCGGGGTGCCGCATATTATTACTATGATTGACAGGGTGGCGCGGCGTGTCCTCGTCTTTACGTGGTGGAGGGTAGAGATCAGACGACGGGCCAATGTTCGGGTTGAGATGACCGTCTTCAAGACGAGTTTACCTGACACATCCCTGCTAAGGGTCGCAGAGTTCGTTCCCACCTGTGTATAGACACGTGTTTCTCTCGTGAGATGACAGATTTTTGCTGAGATTTTCAGATTCACGTCCAGCGCTCTCCTTTTTACTTTACTCACTGCTGACCGACATACAAGAACCCATATATGATACCTGTAATACAAATCTACAGCACCGAAAAAGTGCCAGGTAGAAAGGCCCTGAACCGCACTGTATCCGCGCCACTTTCAATCCCTTCACCTCAATCCAATCACCCACCCAAGGCCCCCCTGATCTGATCATACCCTCCCCACCCCCTCTCGCCTGGAACACCTGCATCCCTCACCCAAACGCTTGTTGCTCCTTCAACCTGTCGAAGGAATTGCAACCACCTGCGTGCCCTCTCTCGCTGCTACAACACTATCCGATGTCCACACCACTTCGCCAACGTACTTCTCAGTCCATCTTGTCAAGTACAGAAGTAGATTATGAAACTGCCCGGCGGGCTCCTCAAGAGGCATGGGACCATATATACGAAATGAGCCTGTCAGAACGCGAACGGCACTTCGGTGGAACGGACAGGGCATGGCGTCACAAGATGGACATGGGTCGTTCAATCTGCAAGCTGTTCGTTGAATGGACAAGGCGCGGCCCATATCACGACGTCGTGCCGATAACTACCAGCGCGGAGGGAGCAGAGAGTGTTCACAAGTTTGATGCTA